TGCAAGCTAAGGCTTTTGCTAGTTAGATATAGAATAGCTAATCTTAGAGTAACTCAGACCAAATGTGGTACTTCGCGAGCTTGGGCAAGCCGCGGCAAAACTCGATAAAGGAACTTAGTGGGGTGAGAGTAACTCAGACTACTATACAAGTTTATAATCTTGTCCTAATACTGTATCGCCGGTGTTCACCCCCGACCTCTGCATGTCTAAAGACCTAAAAACAACAGAATAAGCTGGCTTCAACACAAGAGGTATGCGATGACGCTAGCGCGAGTTGCGCTGTTCTGGGCTTGGTCGGAGTGTCACCGTTATGTTCCGGCCAAACCGGTCCCATGCATATAAGCTCTCTACGATAGCCCTTTAATTTTTTTTCCGCACACTGTCACGACCACTAAGGTAATGACGCATGTCCTCAGGCATCCATGAATTCGACTCCGTGGCTGGACGGTGTGGAGAGATAGGTCGCGCCGTGTTGCCTGTCTTGATAGAAACATAGTGTCGATGATAATGCTCATCACCACTGTGGCTCCACACGTGCATTTGAACGTCCCGTCTAGGTTGACATGGCTGGGCGTATTTATATCCCTTCTCATTCGCATCATGGCTCTTCTTTCTTCTTCACACATCGGCGCCCAGTTCTATCTGGCTAAAACTGGGGAGAGAGCAGGACAATGGGAAGTGGTCTGGGGCATAAAAATACGGCGGAGGCGGGGATGGGACGTGGTCTGGGCGTTGAAAAGGGAGGATGATGCACATCCATGGGGCGTGGTCTGGGCGTCAAAGCCTGAACCGCATTTTCATGGGCGCTCTTCTGGTGGCTCTGAAATATGAAGACGATGGCGATCATGGTATGTGAATCTGGGCGTCGAAATAACGTTCATATATCTACTATGATGTACTCTGGATGTACCTTTGTTTACCACTCGATGGCGACAGGGTCGCATATTGCCGGATGCTTGCGGATGCTCACGGATGCTCACGGCAAATGTCGGGAATTGGCGGCAGTACTGACCTCAGCTCACTGTCGCCTCACCATCACCCACAAACGGTCAGTCGCAAAGCAATACCGAAGGAACATTGTCGACTACACAGTGTATATGTCTGTCGGATTGCATGCCCCTCCGCCATCCATGAATTCGACTCCATCGTGTCTGCCCGCCATGATGAGCTGTGAGCAAGAACTAAGAAAGCACTTCCAGGTTCACATGGAGGACCCTCCACGGCACCGATCGACCTGAATCTCACACTGACCCACGGCGTGCCAAAGGGTGTCATCTCCTTCCACACCCTTGTCGTACTGGAGCGTCAACTTCCGGAGCTTCTTATCGCCAAGCTCATTGCGACCAACCCGCTCAATAATAGCTTTCGCTAGAGTATCCGAGGCCTTGGTGGCGCTCTTGATAGTGACATGCTCGAACTCCAACAATCCATCACATATAAACTCCCCTTGCTCATTGTCAAAGAGGAACGCAGCCTCGGGCGCGTCGATATGCTCACCCCTGCCCCCTGGGGCAACTCTACTGAATGGCTCAGTTTTCGCGTCGGAATTGCTGCAGAGCTCCATCCTGGCTGCCACGCCTTCGTTTCCCAGCACCCGACTCAAGCGTTGGAACGATACCGTGTCGCTCGTCGCAATTTGAGGACCCACCAAACGCACGACTAGACTCTCAAGCTTATTCGTCAGTGGGAGGAAAGTATATCCGTTCATCCTCCACAAAGACGTGAAACTCGTCCTCGTACCGGTCTGCTGTTCCCTCAAGCACTTCCCGGTAGGAAATTGTGATTAGAGAGAGGGGGATGTCCACTTCAATATGCTTGAAGTGATCCAGCTGTTCAGAAACGTAGCGGTGAGGCGCATTCTCCTGTTGTAGGGAGATGAAACTCCATACATAGTCACCGCGGGCTGCCAGCGAGCGAGAGACGTCTTCCCCGTGTAGCTGTCTTTTCGCATAATATACTCGACAATGGTCAGGTCACGGAGCTGGGGAAGTCGCATGAGAACCATTCCAGCGATGATACAAGGGTCTGCCCAGGCGATTGCGCTGTCTTCGGAAAAACCGTCGTCGATCAGGTCGATCATCAAAGGCTTTCGCTTTGTTGCTGAGGGAAGAGACCGGAATCATCGCGAGTTCGTCTTTCTTGCTTGTCTGCATGATCATCAGAGAGGCTTTTTGGGCGTTTGCCGAAAGATGGGGAAGTTCGACAATGGTGTTGAGGTAGGCGGTAATAGCTCCAGCCCTGTGTGGGATCCTCGGTTCCTGTGGTTGGATCTATCACTGATGTACGACAATAGCCTGTGTACCGATCGACGCACAGAACCTTGGAGACTTCTACAACTATAGATCTGCTCGCATACGGGTCGAGGTCCACACAAACTTGGATATCTCGATAACCATGGTATCTTCAAGCCAGTCGACGATGACGGAGTTCCCAAGGTTCTCGTACAGCATCTGGTGGGCCCGCCCAGATGATGCTCGCACTGAAGAAATGCTACCCGCATACAACCAACTGCCGCGAACTTGTGACATGTGGGGATCCTAGGGCCGTGGAGCGCCCGCCAGGAGGAGCGAGTGTAGGGGTGATCGGTGGGGTGGGTCATGTGTGGGCTCTGGGACTATCGTCGTCGCTCCACATGTGACGGCGACAGTTCCTTGTAGAATATCAGGCATTCGGGCAATTCCTTCTACAGTCAGTCCCCCATCGCCAGGCCATCGATTAGCGTGCAGTCTCCCTATACATCCTGTCCATCCGAAAAAGCTACACGTCATGTTGTCACTTGGCCACCGAGTTCTTTTACTGTGTTTTGCCGCGGCTTGCCCGAGCGCGCGAAGCATCAAATTTTGTTGTCACTTGGAGCGCTACCAGTATGTACCCACAGCGTACTCATTACTTCCTGATCATGCTTTCCTGAAGTGGTGTATTGATTCTACATGTGATGGAAGCCCCACCGATCGCGGCCATACGCGCGCATAGTCTCTGGTGCCGTGTCATGAGCAGGCTCAAAGTCGACGAAGCGTGGAAAGTTGAGCTCCTTCGATGTTGTTACATTCGCCAGGCATCATCACTCCACGCTAGAACACGTGCTTTCGTCTTCGACTATCTCTTTCCACACCTGTTCTTCTTCCATTTCCAGGCCGTCATTAGGTGTTGTCTCTTCCTCGACCCCGTTTTCACCGACAGAGCCTCCTTTGCTTTCGTCGCCTCGATTCGATACATTTGTACGTGAGCCTCGCCCAGTCGTCTTTCCTCCGAGGTGATTTTGTCGTGGCGAATCGTGAGGTCCAAGTTGACAGGGTATGTGCGCAGTGAAAGCATACGATGAAGCTCCCCACCAACCCCGCCTCCGTGGTTGCTCTTTTGACGTTCTGCCTCTCGTTTTGCCCTGCCCAGCTTTGAGATGTCAGTAACTGATAGTCCATCGACAAAGGATACTTACTTCGTCTAGGAACTTTTCTTTGGACCATTGCAGCACTTCGAGGACCTTCTTCCGCAACACCCCATAGTCTATGATGTTAAGTAGACGTGTAGTCTTTGTTAGCTTGAGATGCTGCATCGTTGTTGTCTTCACATCCAGCAATCCATTTGCGTACATTTTGAAGACCTACACGTTGTCAGTTTGTCCGTACCGGATCACCCGATCCTTGGTCTGTTCGAAGACCGCCGTGTTCCAAGATTAGTCTAGCATGACGACGGCCTTAGCCGCAGTCAAGCTGATTCCGACGCCGCCTCTTCTGCTCGTTAGTAGCATGGCACTAGCATCGTCCCCTTCTTGGAAGTCCCGGACCGCCATCTGCCTCTGTTCTGTCCCAATGGTGCCATCAAATCGCGCCGCTACAATCGATGCCGTTCGAAGGCCTACGCCGAGGGCATCGAGGGTGCAGAGATAGTTGGAGAGAATTACAACGCTTTGCTTCCGTATTAATATAAACTCTTTTACAAGAGCAATAACAACGCGTAGTTGCGTCGATTGTGTCCATGCATTGTTGCCCAGTTGCTGCTTAAAGTTTACCCGTCTGGACTCTAACTTTGAGAACTCTTCTTTGTCGTCGATGATTTGGTCGTAGTGTGCAATTGGGTGTTTGTAAGTGCGACTTGGTGAATAGCACTTGAAGCCGCATCGAGCTGCGGAATCCGCACAAATGCACTAAGCATATATAGGTAGCCTCTTATGGGAGCATGAAGACCGGATGTAAGTTGAGGCATTCGCCGACAGATACAGTTAATCCTGGAGTGACTCAGGCTACTATACGAGTTTACAATCTTGACCTAATACTGTATCGCCGGTGTTCACCTTCCCGTGAGAGATAGCTTTGCGTTGCACTGATCAAATCTTCAACAATGGACCGTTCCCATCCCATTCTTCACCCTCGACGGAAGATGCGGACATATCAAGACGTACGCCTCAACCTGCGCTGATCGCTAGAAATCATAGACATGAATATTGTCCGCTATACCTGCATCGTGGCTTTTGGCCTTGTCTTCTTTGCTGGTGCAGCTGTTATGCTTAATGTTGCCGCTATAATAATTATGTAGACCCTCTTTCCAGACACTATAAATTACTATTATTAAGACATCTAAGTCTTTGAGACGCACATGTTCACATGTTTATAGTCCTTTGCCTGTTAGCTCTACCCTACGCTATTTTGCGCGACGCCGGAAGAGCAGGCATAGAGTAAGGTCTCCTGTATTAGCTTGAACACGTGCTGGTTAGGTAACGCACGTGGGATTGCAGCGGATTGACGATATTTTGTGTTAAGGAGTAGTGTGCGCGCTGGTCGCTGGTGCCTAGGATGGATTGAACTATGGACCCAGGGCAAGGAGGCTTGAAAGCGCACAAACGCAGTTCAGATAAAGGGGTAAGATTACGTTATTAGGCTAAAGGATAGGCTTAGCCTGTTTACGCGCGCACTTCAGATTTTCCGAGTAAAAACAAATTACCTCGACATCGTCACCCCCGACCTACCCACCACATGTCTAAGAAAAAAGAAACCTCTTCATTCTGAGAAGGATGGGATTCGAACCCACGCTCTTTCGAACTGCGGATCTAGGTTTGGAGGAACCTAAACACAGCGCCTTAACCGCTCGGCCACCTTCCCTGTGGATTAATATCAATGTTCAGCAATCAAATACTTATATTCATGTGATTAGATTGCGTGATAGGAATCAGGGTTGACACGAAAAGAATGGCGGGTGTTGAGCGACTAGAAAGTAGAACACACGATCCACAGGCACTAGCGAAGCGGGGCAGAGTCGGAACGAGAAATTTGGGGCTTACATTAGATTCATACTCTAGAGGATGGCGAAACAACAACCACTTTCCTCGTCTTGCTTGATTTATCAATCAGTGCCTACATATGCTGTTTAACAATTTTTTTACTCAGTCTCTAGATGAATCTCATATCTCCAACTATAATAACAAGTATGGTCTGGATATACTGCTGCTGCACTGCGTTTAATTGCGGTACCATCGTGGGCAGCGAGCAGATCGACAATCTTACAAGATTCGTAAATACACACACCGTCTTCTAATATACAAGGCTGCCTTATATCGTTATAGAACCTGTGCGCAAGGTTTCGGCACTCTGTTGCCGTAGCCGCGGCCACTACTGTTAACCCTGAGACTGACGCGATGTCGTCGCATATCCTGAGCTATAGATATTGCATATGCGATTGCTTAAGGCGCATCTTGAAAAAATAAAAGGATAAATCTATTGCGCCTATATAATACAGATAGACTCTTAGGCCCGACCTCCATGACCTGTTCTCTTGACAAGGCAGATATCTATGGTAGTCCTCCACAAAACTGCACTTCATGGTAAGCTTACCAAAGTGTGTGAACACCAGCGTCAGTCTATCAGGCTAGAAATCGACAGAGACATTATAGGTTGAGTTGCTACAGCATATATCTGACGTTGATTCTTCAACAAGATGAGCAGTATGGGCTGAGACAGCTGCAGCAGTGACCTAACTAGGTACTGGCCCAAATACGATATTACAGAAGCGCCAAAGGCTAGACGTATATCTACCGCCCGCCTGCCTGTTACAACTCTTCCAGCTGTACACCAAAACGCAAGACAAGGAGTTGTACCCAACAAAAAATATGGTGAGTTACCGTATCCGAGCTCCTCCTACCAATGCTGACACCCTACCTGTAACATTCGTCACCGGCTCCGGACGCTGCACAGACCGACAAGACCATATACACCATCGTAGACGACGCGAAGAAGGCATCCCTGGCTGCGTAGGAAAAATGTGAAAAGGTCACGACTACGCGGACAAGCCTGCAAGAAGAAACGTCCAGCTCGAGAAGGAGGTGGAGGGTTTGGAAAAGCGTCTCGGGGAACCCGTCAACCTGAAAGTCCTCGCGAACGCCGTCCAAATTCACGCAAAGGCTGTATTTTCTACTTCCACCAACTATCCCCGGTACAAACTCACTGACCCTCTGCAGGATGCCGTTGAAACGGTCGGCCGTGCGTTGATTGACTTCGTCAAACTCCCACTAGCCAGCGCACAGGAGGGCGCGAAACAAGTCCAGAAAACAATGGATGCCCTGAAAGCATCGTGTTGCAACGCGTTCCAGCAGGCTCTACCGATACCACCGAGTCCCAAGTGGAGAAATGATGGTCCGGAGACGATGCATGGACGGGCATGTGCGGAATTCCGACGGGTAATGATACATGTGGGGCAGGGCAGCGATTTGCGCAGACTGCCCACGCGGCTTAGCCCTCCAGGAAATAATTCATGAACAGTAACATCGTTCAGCTGACGTGCATCGTGCATCGTGACATATGACGATAGAACTACCGTAATCTCCACGCATTGGTCATTTTCTGGGCATGGAGTGAAACATGTGATATCTTCTGAGCCTTTCTATGGATAAATACCATGTTCTGGCATCGCGGTGACCCCCCTCCCCCTCGACTTGACACCTTCCTCCCTATCACTCTCGTATCCGCCTTCGTCGTTCCTCGAACCATCCGAAAATCGCATCCGCGTGTGCAAATGCCCGCCGTAGCTCACTGTCGTCCCATTCAGATACTCCCACGCCAACGTTCTGAGCCGATGTTGGATGCGGTCCATGCACGTCGGTGTCGTCGGTGTCGTGGCTGTGCTGTATGTCTTCGTGATCGTCGGATCTTATAGTATGATCGTCGACATCGTCGACTTGGGAACTTCGTGAATGGTCGATGCTCGATTGGATTTCATGTGCGACCCAGTCATGCGACCTGACCGCCACGTTCCTCTGGAAGGCGCTGATGTTCTCGAAGGCGTCGACGTTGTACAGCTCCTCGTGCAGGCGGAGTAGTCGTAGTGGATGTGGTATGAGGTTATTGCCGGAACTAAAGCGGCCCTTGCGACACTCATACGCGACCTTGGTGTCGTCCAGATGGTAGGTCCATCTTGGGACCATGTCGGTTGTTGTCGATCCTGTGGGTGTGCTCCAAAATACCCCCATGCGTCCCACGATCTCATTATTTACAACCCCCATCCAGATCTCAGAGCTCGGCAGTTCTCCTCGCCCTTGCGCCATGCCAATGAAGATGCGGCTTTTTTTCCAGCCGAGAACTTTGCTTGACTCGGACGTGGGCAGTAGATGTCTGGGGGTATCCCCGGCTCGTCTCAGACGCCACTCCCATAGATGGGTCATTGTAACCAAGGCCTGGTCCGGTGGGGCTGGTCGTATCGATTTGACGTTCACTCTGTGATGCGGGTCGTTCAGCGTGAACTCCAGCGCGTCGCTTAGCCGCTTTCGGTGGCTTCGGAGGTTCCTCGACAGCTCCGATCTCGGCACTGCCAGTGCTTGTGGCAGGTGATCTGGAGTGGATAGAAGTTGGGCTGTGGTAGATAGAAGGCAGACTGGAGTAGAGAGAAGGTGGGCTAGTCGCAGCGGGGATAAGTATTTATACAGTTTGTTACGAACACAAAGTAAGAGAGACTAGCGAAGCTAGCGTATATTAAGACGCTCTAATAAGAGGTAGTTACTAGGAGTCTAGGTGAGTTGCTGCAAATCCAGGTGAAGGTATCGTATAGATTCCAGCGCACGTCCCTAAAGCAGGACACTTTCTAAAACCTAGATGTAGTTATACACGAAAATATTACATTACAGTTTCTGAGTCTGTGTTACCCCTAGATAGATCGTGTAGTATAGGGTTGTTAGTCAGGTATAGATTACTATCACGACGCTCGCGAAGACGCGCCTTGCAGAGCGGTTTATTAGTATTTTGACGCTATATTTGGTAAAGATTTGTCACTATTTATATTAAAAATGATAGGTGCTACGACTAGCTAGAATATTAAAGTTATAGTAATACCCGTATTTACTAGTTATACTTTAATATTCCTTTAGTTCTTAAGTACGCTAGAATCCATCTTAGCGGTAGACTTAGATCGAGCTATCTGCATCTTGTCTAGATTGCTTCGTGCAGCTGCGAGGTGCTCTACGTACTATTTAGTCTAAGCGGCGGCCTGTTAGGCTAGGTATTAATCGATACATACTTGCATATACGTTTCGAATGCTGTCGTATAGCGCTGCATTTAGTGGAGAAGCTGAGTGAACAGACTCCTGTCGTAGTGTTAGAGTCCAACCATGTTATCTCGAAACTGACGAAGACTTACACAGGTTTCTGACGCTTCTTGCTTTTAAAGGCGCGTCTTCTTGCTACTTTCCTGGTTTCGAAGGCGGGCCACTAGGACTGCTGCACGACGAAGACCTCAGGGGGCTGTGGGATTGACAACAAATATATTCGTCTTATATGGGTGTTTTGCAACAACCGGTCATAAGATGTGCGACGGAAGCCTCCAGGCTCTGGCGGAGTTAGAAAGCGAAGACGGAGACATCGAAGAAGACGCCGGCATAACCTACGATTTATATCCAGTACCTGATTAAACAATCCGGGCTCGGCCTAGACGTACCGCAGCGGCGGAAGCTGATTAACCGTCTCGTGGAGTACTGCGACGGCAGAAATCCGACCTTTGCATACCTCGTCGAAAGTCGCCGAACGCCTAACCATGCCTTGGAGCACAGTCGTGATGGTGGTTTATGTATATGTATTTAATTAGGGGTTGTAAGGACGAACTCTGATAGGATACTAAATACCACGATAACTATTGACATCGACGATGTGGTAATCTGACAGAATGCCGAAGGTGCACTGGTGGCTCCATGAAAGGTAGTCGCGATTCTCTGTGGATAAGCAGGCTGTCGTGAAGGTGCGACCTATAGATCTATCACAATCAGAACCAATTCCAGCAATAACCATTCCAGAGCCAACAATCGTAGCAGGGAAATAGCCATACGACCTTGATAAAACACCAGTGTGTATACCACAGGAGCTGGTCGGGCTTGATGCGGTTCTTGTTGCGCTTTTGAATCGCTTCGAGATGGTCGTCAATCAACTTCCTCAGTGGTGGATGTCACGGGTCGTGGAGAAGCTTCCAAAGTATCCGTATCCGTGATTTTGTACCACTGCCTGGCTATTCGTGAATCGGGCATTGTCCGACGCGCGTCTTCCTGAGGATGTCCAAATTGTTCCTAGTAGAGCTGCGACTGATAAGCGGCTCTTATGATCTCAGCACATCCAATACTTGCCGGCAGTGCGCAGCCCGCGTCACGTCACCTTTGCAGTGCAGGAATTCTTCATGTTTCCGGATATCGAATGCCAAGTTCTCTCGGAACATATCATGGTCCCGTCTGAAGGAATTTCAACTACAAGCAAATTGTTTCGCACAATGGGGTTGTTCGGACTTAGCCATGACTCGCCGCCATCAAGGCCGTGGAAGGGTTACATTCTTGCCATGCCAAAACAATTCAGTATAATGGAAAAAGGGTATGAATACTGCATTTCTGCTCCTAGGATAACTCAGAGTACTCAGATCATATAGAACAAGTATAGGAGTAATAATACGTACTTGGAATATTCACCTCGTACAACTCTTCTTTCTTTAGTCTAAGACCATGTGCAGAATCTCTATAGTTGTAAGTAAAAGACAAAGGTATACGCTAAGCCGAGCAGGGTCTAGCTATAGTATATATACTGTTCTATATCACCTTTCCTTTCCAACTGTTTCCTCTTCAACTTCTTCTTCAATTTCCTCT